CTTGTCATTGGGTTCGATTCCCACTTCAGTTTATGGGTTCTGCAATGGAGATGAGATGGCCAGTATATTCTTGGCCAGCTCATATTCCATTTCGAGCATCGTTGATGTTGCAATCATCAGCGAAAGCAGAATATCGAGCCATGGTGAGCGTCGTAAATGAGTCACTTTGATTATGTTGATTAGTGGTTACTTCATGAGCTCCGCGTTTTTTCGAGCAAATCATCTCACTGTCCTGTTGTGTTTCGCGTGACAATTTGCACTTTACAGCTAATCCAATTACTGGTGAGTCTATCAAGCATAGGGTAGAAATCGGTACGGTATCGGTATCCCAATACCAAATACCGAAATCCCGAATACCAAATTACACCCTAAAATCAATCCCAATCCCAATCCCTAAATAATTTCGGTATCCCAATCCCAATCCCTAAATAATTTCGGTATCCCAATCGGTATCTCGGTATCCCAATCGGTATTAACGAATACATAATTAATTACCTTTACAATTAATAATTAAATATATAAATTATATTTTATTTTTAATTTAGGGCAAAGAGACTAAGCAAATAGTCTTGAGTTGCCTAGAGCTAACATCTCAAATTCTTGTAATTGGTAATCTTTAATTTGACGAATTTGAGGTTGAGAGACGACTAATACTAGTGTGAATAGTGATGTAATGATCTATGTATAATTAAATGATGAATTTGGTGGTTGATGGTCGCGTAGTAGTGAATGAGAGAGTCTAGTTGAGAGGATTAAATACACACTAGCTTATATTTCGGCATTGATCGGTATTTCGGTATATATACCGATCCCAATCTCGTAATCCCTAATACCAAATAACAATTGAAATTCAATCCCAATCCCAATCCCACAAAATAAAACGTGTATTCGGTAATACCAAATATAGACAAATTCGGTACGGTATTCGATATATCCCAAATACCGGTACCAAACTTCCAGCCTAATCAAGCATGTGGAAGTGAACCGCTACTATGTTTGTGGGATAAAGCACACTTCTTACTCTTCTTTGGTTTGAGATGGAAATGGAGGATAAGTGACCATAGCTAGATGGGCTTTTACTGGGATGGAAGCGAGGACCTGGTCAAAGAAGCCTAACTTTATGATGGGTTCAGGCCCGCTAAGCATTTTGTGCAGTGAGGGCCCAACATTTTCAGAGCACTAAGTGGGCCATTGTGGTTGTTGGTTCAGCCTAGAATTGATTGGTCCAGCCGGAAATTTGACCATTTCTCCTGTCAATTATTCCACAAGAAGACCACTGACCTCTTGCACTTATTTAAGTGGCTGATGGGTACTCTTCTAGATGAAGATGCTCTTAATTCCAAATCACACCTTTATTCATTGATGAATGCCATTGAAAATATGTTACTCAACACTTGCCTAAAATTAGCTTTCTAACTATTTTAAGATAAACATATCTTAATGAGCACTACATAATGAATATTTCAATTCATGTAATATGATTTATCAAACGTAATATACCATACCGAAGACTCTAAATCACTATGTTATAATATCTTGAAGGTATATCGTACATACACTACGTAAATTCGTGAAAATTTAATTTTATCCAACAAGGTTCTAATCAAAATTTATTTCAAAATAAGCACTTTGGTTGAAAACCCAAGTGACTAAGAGGTTGTTCGACTGTGGAAATTTAGAAAACATGGGAATCGACCTTGATTTCTACATTATAGAAAACCTCAGAAATGTCAAGTGAAAATTGACTAAAATTTCATGTTTGAAATGAGTTTAAAAGTATGGAAATTAATGGCGTGAAATTTTATTAAAATAAAAATTTATCCTTTTGTGAGATGGAAGAGAAAAGTGATGGAAAGGAAGAAGAGGATTAGAATTGTGATCACTTCTACTATGTTATATAGTATTGGTGTTTTAATGTACAACTTGAAGTTGTACTATAATCATCAAAACATATATATATACAGGAGTGCATATGAGAGTTTTGCCACGTCAGTCATCAAAACTCGGTCCCTATTTTACGGAAGGGTGTTTTGGACAAAATACATAATTTTAATCAGCGACAGCGCCTCACTTTGCCGGCCGATTAGTTAGGCCCGCTAAAGCCTTCAAGCTCAAGCCATTGGAAAGCAAGCCCACATAATTACTTCCCAAGGATGTGAGGACATAAATTAAATGTTAATAATAGGACTAAGCATTTCATTGGCAGAAATAAAATATTAATAGTAGTTTTTTAGAAACCTGGGTATTAATCCCTTCATAACTTTAAGAAAAGGCTGCACTTTTTAGCTATTACAACCAAAATGGAGTAGGATGGCTGGCAAGATATAAAAAAATCGATGGTTATTATGTTTTGGTGATTTTTCCCCGCTCTCAGTAAGGAGGGTAATGAGTTTGGTACGATTTTGGTATTTTAAGTATTCGTACCAAATTCACTAGAATATGCGTCATAACTATGTTCTATATTCACTCTTTTTCTTTTACAGTAAGCTCTATACTCACTCACTTAAACATTTTGTTCGTCTATATCCCTCAAACATTGGTCTTTATTAAAATCTCAAATCTTACTACTTTTCTCTCAGTTTTACAAACAACACGACAAAAAGTTCAATTAATATTGACATTCTAATTTTTTTAGATATATTCAGAAGTTTATATAAAATTATTCGGGTATAGTAAGCGTTGGTTTCCCCTAACCACATATAAGTTGGTTTGGTATGTTGTATGTTATATTAGATCCCCACAGAATTTTGGTTAAGGGGATGGTTACGATTTAATAACGTGATTTGGGGACAATATATAGGTAAAACGACACCACTCGAACCCGTTGTCATCCCTAAAATGAAGAGAAAAAAAAAAAATAAGCATAATCTCTTACCTTCAAAGAATTATTCCATTTTTTTGGGGTGAACAAAGAATTATTCCATGGATATATTAGTAAAAATATGAAATTCAATAATAGATGAATTCTTGACTAAAATCCGAGTTCAACAGGTTGGCTGATGATTAAGTGTCCAAATAAATCTAAAATGACACTATAGTAATTCAGCTATGTGTTGAATATCGACACTTACATTCATGGTTGTCAAGACCATATCAAATCAATCAGTTGGATCATGTCCGTTCGAAGCTACCTCCTACAAGGTTGCCATATGGAGTAGGATGACAAGATACAAAAATTCGATCGTTATTATGTTTTGGTGATTTTTTCCGGCTCTCAGTAAGGAGGGTAATGAGTTTGGTACGATTTTGGTATTTTAAGTATCCGTACCAAATGCACTAAAATATGCGCCATAACTATGATCTATATTCACTCTTTTTCTTTTACAGTAAGCTCTATACTCACTCACTTAAACACTTTGTTTGTCTATATCCCTCAAACCTTACTACTTTTCTCTCAGTTTTACAAACAACACGACAAAAAGTTCAATTAATATTGACATTCTAATTTTTTTAGATATATTCAGAAGTTTATATAAAATTATTCGGGTATAGTAAGCGTCGGTTTCCCATAACCACATATAAGTTGGTTTGGTATGTTGTATGTTATATTACATCCCACAGAATTTTGGTTAAGGGGATGGTTACGATTTAATAAAGTGGTTTGCGGACAATATATAGGAAAAATGGCACCACTCGTAGTAAAAATTTTAATTTCAATAATAGATGAATTCTTGACTAAAATTCGAGTTCAACAGATTGGCTAATGATTAAGTGTCCATATAAATCTAAAATGACACTATAGTAATTCAGCTATGTGTTGAATATCGACACTTACATTCATGGTTGTCAAGACCATAGCAAATCAATCAGTTGGATCATGTCCGTTCGAAGCTACCTCCTACAAGGTTGCCATAAAGTTGGATTCCCAAAAAGATGGTACATGTTCAAAATTGCAAAAATGATGGGTTTGACTTGATTGACCAAGTACTAGCCCAAACACATTATGGGGAACATTTTGGTGAAACTGAATCAGAAAATAAAAAAACCAAAGGACTTCCCTTTGGTAGCTAAGAAAGAGATAGGGAGGGGCGGGAGTGAGAGTGAGAGACGAGAGAAGAATAATATGTTAGTAAATAATATAAGATGGTTAATTAATCCTCTTTCAATAAAATGGAGTTATTGAGACTACTTGGTTAATGACATGGGGAAGAGGAAGAAAGAGATAGGGAGAGGAATGAGAACTTACAAAATGATGCTTATACATATAAATTATATTTCAATCATTAAAAGGTTTAAATTTGTACCTGCCATAAATAAGTATATTATATACAGAACGAGAACTTACAAAATGATGCTTATACATAAAATTATATTTCAATCATTAAAATGTTTAAATTTGTACCGGGCATGAGTATATTTTAGAATACGTATAAGAAAGATAAAAGGTTGGGAGTCATCTTCTGACTCTTGAATGTTAAATCACTTACTCGATTACCTCATACATTTAAATCGATATGACAATTTTGCTTAAATTACGCCTATTAGCATGATAACAAACCTCATCCGGCCAACTGGCCGGGCAAAATGCTAGTATTAAATGTATAAGTTTAGGTTGTACAATAAAGGAATTTGTATCATTATGTTATGATACAACTTTACAACTTTAAGTTGTACCATCACATAAAGGTACAAGTTCAAGTTGTACCATAAAAGAATTTGTACAAAAAGTATAGGTACAATCTGAAGTTGTACCATAACGTAAAGGTACAATTTCAAGTTGTACCATAAAGACAAAAACCTATAGCACCAATACTATATAACATTGTAAAATTCCTCTAGAATTGGGTGAGGAAAAAAAATTGTGGGCATATAAGAATACAAAGCTACGTATCGTAATTACAATTCCACATAAAATTTTCACGTCCAAACAACCCTAATATTATTAGCTATTATTGTTATTAGTCCATCCTACTTGATTTAACAAATCAGTTCCTCATTGAGTGCTACTGAGTTCATTAACTAAACGAATTGAAGTTTGTTAGGAACAAACAAAAGATTAGAGCAGATAATCAATTCTTAAACCCCAAAAGCCATGTGATTCTAATCCCAATCACACCCACATGAACTAAATAAAACTATGCCTACGCGTAATCTGGTTTGAATTTTCTCAGCAACCCACTTTTTTTTCCTTCTCCCCTTTACTAATCTATTACTTCTTAGAAACATTGACTTCCCCAAAAACAAAATTAAATGCTCTCTCCCCTTTAGAGTCCAAGCTTCAATCATTCACTCTCCTAAAAGGAAACCAACCAGAAAAAACCAAAGGAATCAAAAGGAAAGAAGAGCCGATTTTTTCCAAACCTGAAGTGTTGCAGGGGGTTTGAATTGGTCAGCACTTTTCACTTTGGACCCTTCCCAATCCCAAATCTCTCTACTCCACCACTACCACACACACACTCAAACAAGCTCTTCTTCAATATCCTCTTCTGGGTGACCAAAGACTAGTCCAAGAATTGAATAAAATAACTCGGTTTCTCTCCACAGTCAAATATTCAAACTTCCAACAGTGTCCACCATGTGTGCATGTATATATATAGCTCATGGATCCCTTCTTCACTCTCCATCCTACCTTCTCTTCTTCCAAACCCACCAAGCAGAAGCAAAAAAGATTCAAACTTTCTGCTACCCATTACCGTTTTCGGGTTCTTACTTCTCACTCAAGGTACTTCCATGGTATTGGGTGTTCTTCCTGATTCATATTCCCAACTCTGGTCATCCCAATTCTCTGATCACAGCAGCATTCTGCAGAAGTTTGAAGCTTTGGCTTCTGACGAACCAAGTGGCTCGATTCTAGATTATGCTTGAAGGCTGCTGACGCTGCTTGTCGGTTTGTTTCTGTTGGAGATTGGCTGGTTCATAAAAAAGTTGGGGTAGCCAAAGAAAAGAAAGAGCAGACTGATGGAAGGAGGAGGGTGGAGCTGGGAACAGAGAACACTGGTGAATGAGCTGATCCAAGGGATGGAATTTGCAAAACAGCTGAGCTTTCATCTCGAGGGGTCATCTTCGGTTGAGAATGCTGAGATTTTGGTGCAGAGGATCTTGTCTTCTTATGAGAAGGCTCTGCTGATTCTCAATTGGAGTGGATCAGTTGGACATCAACCTCTGCAAGCTGCTGCTGTTACTGCACCAGTAGCTGCTGCAGCTACTGGTTCTGGTTCTGGGGTTCCTGGATCTCCATTGTCTACGAATGGAAGTCCTAGGAGTGAGGATTTTGATGGAACCAAGGATCATCAAGCTCCCATTAATGCCTCCAAGAAGAGGTGAGTTCTTTGCTTCTTCTGGGCTATGAAATTCTGCAGAAGCTAAATGTTAGTTGATTGATGGCTAATAACTTTTGGTGTTTCCCTGCAGAAAGACAATGCCCAGGTGGACAGATCAAGTTAAAGTCAGCTCTGAGAATGGATTGGAAGGTCCAATTGATGATGGCTATAGCTGGAGGAAGTATGGCCAGAAAGACATTCTAGGAGCCAAATATCCCAGGTACACTTCTACTGTGTACGGACTCTATATCCACAAGTTCTCAAAAAGTAAACCAAATAGCTGGTGGGATTGTGTCATATCCCATCCACACAAGCAAAGGCCCAGTACAACAAACAAACATCAGTAGGAGAAAGAAAGGGTTAGTTAGTAACTAACAAAATGGTTGTTTTTTCATTTTGTTAAATTAGATACATCAGTATGTCATGCTACACAAATTAAAACAACAGACGAACTGTCCAACACGCTGATATGAAACTCAATCAAATCCCAATCTTACTCATGTTACCAATTCATATGACCCAAATGGATGGATAGTCAATTTCGTAAGTGTATGTTATCATTCTGTTAAAGAATTTAAGTAATCATTAATGCAAGTAAAACCTGTCAAGTAGTCTTTTGGGTCTAACCACGTCAACCCTCTCCATCGCTGAAAAGTCAAATGTTGAAATGTTCAACACCCATCTAAACTCTTTTTCATAAAAAGGGTAAAAAAGAGGCATCATATTTTAACAATACCAAAGACTGAAACCAAAAGAAGTGGAAACTTACTAGTGTTTTGCTTGGTCTTTGCAGAAGCTATTATAGGTGCACATACAGGAACACACAAAACTGCTGGGCTATCAAGCAAGTTCAGAGATCAGATGAAGATCCTACCATCTTTGAGGTCACATATAGGGGACAACACAGCTGTTCCTTTGGCCAACAGCAAACAGTTGCAACACCACCAGCAGCATCGCCAGAGAAAAAAGAACAGATCAAGCACAACTTCAGCAGCAGCAATCAACAGCAGCCACCGCCTGGAGAAGCTTTGCTTAACTTGCAGAAGGGTCTGAAAGTTGATACTCGGGATTTGGACAAGAGAGAGGCAGTGCCTTTCGCTTTTCCTTCCACATATGAATGCCAAAATAGCAACTTCTCCCAGTCGTTTCTCTCACCAGCCACGCCAGAACCAAACTACTACCATGTTTCTCCATTTGTGAACAGCTCTGGATGGGCACAGACTTTGCAGCATTCGGATTCAGATTTGGCTGAGATACTCTCAGCTCAAACTTCAGCTACCAGTTCTCCAATGCTGGACTTGGATTTCCAACTTGAGCCATTCGAACTGGTTCCGAGCTTCTCGTACGCCCCCGGATATTTCTCTTGATTCTCTCTCTCTCACTATGGTCAGTCAGGGACGATAAGAACGGACACAAATTTAGTTGCAGGTTGATCTTTAGATTGTATCATAAAGACAGGAAAAGAAAGACGTGTGTGTAAAGCAGACTAGCTATAGCTCTTGCAGCTGAGTTTTGATGTAGCAATAACAGCAGTAACTGGCTAGTATTGAATGGCAAGTTCTGTGTAATAACACATGACTGAAGAACCCTTTCGTAGCTTAGATGTTACAAGCTCCACCAACAGATGGGATTATAACCAAGACAAGAATAGCCTTTCACCTCCACTCTGTGAACATACGCAGTAAGAAGAATCGATTTCTAGAGGTTCCATGAAGAGAGAACTACAACATACTCAATGACAGCAAATTTCATTAATGCTTGAGCAGTACATTAGATTAGCACATGAACAGCCACTCATGATTTCGATTATATACGCGGACATCAGGGTACCTCCTGACCAAGCAAAAAGCTGATTTGGTGATGACGCCATTGCTACAACTGTCGTAAAGCATGCACAAGAAGAGCAGAGACTAAGCTTCCATGGATCAAGCAGCTAGTCAGAGGTCCTTCTTCTCTGATTCGTCCCTTTTCCTAAGTGCTTGCCTCAAGCCCAGGACGATGAATATGTTTGTTAAGGTGAGAAGTGATTCAGCCCCACCATGCAGCCAATCCACATTAGACAAGGAAGTTCCGTACTGCACTTTTGCTGACTCAAATGAAGCCAGCATCGTTTATCAGGATCAGTTCGCAACTAGGAATCATAAACAAGCAATTGAATTGAATTGAATGAGAGAAGTCAGCAAAAGATTACCATAGATTCCCGCTGGAACTGCAACAATCATCCATCGTTGGAAACCATGAAGGAACAAAAGAGAAAAAATCCATCAGTGTTGGGTTCAACATTAAGCTCCCTACCCAAACAAAAAAAAATCAAATCTTGTTCCTTCATCCAATCATTTCATCCTCAACATAGTCGAAAGAACTGTATTTCACCGCTAAGAAACAGTGAACTAGAGGAAATTGAAGTAGGGGAAAAAAAAGGAGTTCTTTTTCATATAACTAACTTGTAGCGCCCACAAAGGCGAGCAAGAAGTAGAATCCGAAGAGGGTGAGCCCTGGAGCAGTCTTGGACTTGGTGAGGAAGTACAAGAAAGCAATGTACGGGAACAAAGAGAGTGCGAAGAGCTGAGGGGCAATGCTCTGTGAATCAATGTTTGGCGCCCATGGATCCACAGGCAGGAACCATACGCTACAAACAAACCTTTCTCCTCTGCCACCAGTCGTTTTAATCACCCTGCAATACCTGGAATCAGTTCCCGTTCTCCAGGGTTCTTGGTGGGGGATTGGGACGAGAAATCGGGAACCCACCACTGAAACTGGGAGCGGAGAAGTGGGTGGGACTGTGAATTGCGGCTGCCGGTAGCAGCAGGTATTCATGATTGAAAAGGGACCTTCGCTCGGCAGCCGTCGATATGACCGGGAAACTGGGATTAGAAAATTGGGGGAGACGACGAAGCTGCGTGTTCCTAATTTCGTGGACTGAAATTGATGTTACCAGTAACTGGTCGATAGAACTGAATGGGCTTCTTGGGCCGCCTGATTTGGGCTTTTATTAATACTGCAGCAGAACTGCAGTGGTTACATTAATTAACTGGTCGATAGAACTGAATGGGTTTCTTGAGGCTCTTGCTTTGGGCTTTTATTTATGTTACAGAGGTTACAAAATTTCACAATTCGTATAGATTTACTATAAAGCCTTGTTTTATCCGCATATGGTTAAATTTGTGACAATTGACTACAATTTTGACGGGTTTTCTCAAAAAATTAAACCCTTATACAGCATTCCCGCCCTTATTTATTAATAAATCCAACGATTTTAACCTCGAATTCGGTCGAAGAACACAACCGATAACCCAAAACATAGTATGAAGCATCAAACACCATTTTCACTCAAATATGAAATATAACTGTTGGGCATGTGACTCGGGCCTGGCCGCGTCAAGGAACGGACGCAACTGGATGGACTCCGACATAGCAGCGCGAAGACCCCGAGCGCGACACCTCATCGTAGTCAACTACGTCCTGGCGCGAAGAGTTTGTGCGCGATGTGAGTTACAGGCGCTGAGAAAGAGCGTAGCGCAGGAAAAGCCAAGAGAGGAGGGAGGCGTAGCTTTCCTCCCCAGGAAGTGGTCACATCAAGGCCAGTGGCAAATCTCTGACACGTCCTAGGTAGGGGGATGGCCGAGACAGGGTCTAAAATCCTTAGTATGTGCCAGTGGTCACATCATTGTATCCCAATTGTCACATCTTGTATCCCCACTTGGGTCAACCACTCACCCACCACAACGAGGCCTATAAATACGGCATTTACTACGGTGGGTGAGGGGATCGCATTTTTCACCATTCTCTCTCTATAACAATTACTTCTCTTTCTAAAAGTTTGGACTCCGGTCCTCGCTCAACTCTCTAATTCCTCTCTCCCCGATCGAACTTGACGCTCGCGTTTCTTCTTGACCCAAACTCTCATTCGAACCTCACTCCTACACTCAGTTAGGTTCAAACAATTGGCGCCCACCGTGGGGCCAAGGAGAAACGCTAAAGAAAATCCCCCGATGGCAGAGCGCAACCACGACCAGCCTGACCAAGCAACACCAGTCAAGGCAATGACCGACCCGAGGATGTTCGCGGAAGCCAGCAACCTCAGCGCCGTGCTCATTGAAGAAGAAGAGCCCGAACTGACGGCAAAAGAAATGAGGGATCTAGTGAGAAAGCAAAACGACGTCATAGCCGACATGCAGAAACAAATGAGCCAAGTTATCGCGCTCATGATGAGCAGGGATAGCGCGGCAGCGACTGGTGCGGTGGCGGACGCGCCTCGACAAACCTTGGCGGTAGCGCCACAACAGGCTTTGGGAGAAACGTCGGGGACAGCCCAGCCACCCCAACACGGGGCGACGGAACTCCCCGCGTGCGAAGCGCCGGGGATCGAGCCACCAGAGCGGGCGGACCTCAGCTTCTTAGAGCAACATCTGTCTCCGCAGTACCGACCCAACCCGGCAAAAAGAGTCCTTCACCAGCCGCTGAGCGCGCAGATAATGGCGGAGAACCTAACAGGAGCGACGCCCGCCCTCCCGACATACAACGGCACGACCGACCCGGAAGACCATGTAAGCACCTTTTGCCTGCGCATGCAACTCCAGACCAATTCCAACGCCGCGCTATGCAGAACCTTCCCGTCGACATTCACCGGCATATGCCTCGACTGGTACAACCGCCTCCCAAATGGAATCATCCACTCATTCGAGGAGTTCATACTCCTGTTCACAACGAAGTTTGCGTCCCAGAAACGGCGCCCGCTTCACCTCAAGGCCCTGATAGATATCAGGCAAAAGGATGGAGAAAACCTGAGAACTTTCTATGCCCGATGGTCCAGGATAGCAATGGCCGTCCGCGACCTCACCCCCGAAACAGCCGCCCATCACCTCATGGAGGCCACCAACAATATGGAGCTTAAGCGGGCGTTGGCCAAGAGACCCGTCACGCTATCGACAGAGTTGGAGATGAAGATCGAAAAGGCGATCACGTTGGAAGAAACCTTGGGGGCAGGGTCCGTCAGGCGCTTTGAGCCGGCGAAAATGCCACGAGAAGAACAGGCGCGTCGTCAGCCTCCAGCCGTGATCCCACGAGACCACTTGCTACAGATGCACAGTGGCCCGAAGCGCGCCCCTCCTCCCCCACCAGAGCAGGCGCAACGCGGCCGATCGCCGGACAGGCGCGCGCATAACGCCTACACTCCCCTTAATGACTCAATGAGGAATGTGTTCCATGTCCTTCGCGAGAAGGGTTACAAGATCAACTGGCCTGCCCCGTTGAAATCCCAACCCTACATGCGCGATCCACATAGGCATTGTGAATTCCACAGAGCAACGGGGCACCGAACAGAAGAGTGCCGGGACCTGAGGTACGAAATAGAGGGCCTCATACAGCGAGGGCTGCTGACCGAGTTTGTTCACGTGAAAAAAGAACAAGTTGAGCACCCACAGCACCCGCCGCCGCCACCGCCCCAAGCTGAATATAACGATGACACGGGCGCATATGTAGTGCGCAAGGAAATTGGGGTGGTGACGGTCGAAGGAGACCGCCCCCAGAAGAAAACCAAACGGGAGCGCGCGATGGAGTGCGCGACCACCGACGCGCCGTCAAGGTTCAACCTGAGCTTCGACGACGCGGAATTCCCACAAGGAACCCCATCAGAGGAGCCGCTCATTATCACCGCGCTAATCTCCGCCTGCAAGACCCACCGCCTCCTGGTAGACGGAGGTAGCGCGGCTGACATCCTCTTCCAGAGTACCATTGACAAAATGGACATCGACCGGCGCCTAATCAGGCGCGCGCATGGCAACCTAGTGGGCTTCTCCGGGACTAAAGTCCCGGTCATTGGAGTGGTCACCCTCCCTGTGGTGGTCGGCGACCAGGAGCCTCGCGCCTCAAAACAGGTAGAGTTCACGATTGTCGATTGCGAATCGGCGCACAACGGCATTCTAGGCCGGCCATTCCTTGCGAAGTTCCTGGCTCTCCCATCAACCTGCCACCAGAAACTCAAGTTCCCAACACAGAGAGGAGTGGGAGAAGCCCGGGGAACGACGTGGGAAGATCGCGTCGTGACTCGACAAACCAACATCGTCGACACAAGGGCGGAAGAACCCCGACCGGAGTCGATGGATTCCGATTTTGAGGTCGCGCTAGATCCAGCTGAGCCGACCAGGAAGATACGCATTTCCACTCACGTCAGCAGTGACACAATCGAGCCGCTCGTGGCACTGCTGAAGGAGTACAAGGAACTGTTCGCGTGGTGCACGGAAGACATGCCAGGAGTGCCCAGGGAGGTAGCCCAACATAGCCTTGCAGTGCCAGCCAACGCAGAGCCAAGGCAACAGGGGCGGAGGTCCTTCACGGGCGATAAGCTAAAGGCGATAGAAGAGGAGGTGACGCGCCTACTGGCAGCCGGGCTAATCCGACCCGTGAAATATCCAAAGTGGTTGGCAAATGTGGTATTGGTCAAGAAGTCATCAGGGGCCTGGCGGATGTGCGTCGACTACACCACGATCAACAGAGTGTGCCCAGGAGACCCTTATCCACTGCCGCGCATCGACCAACTGATCGACGCAACCGCAGATCACGAGACGTTATCCTTCCTCGACATGTTCTCCGGGTACCACCAGATCCCCATGTCAGTGGAAGACGAAGAAAAGACGTCGTTCATGACACCGTTTGGAAACTTCTGCTTTGTGGGGATGCCGTTCGGGTTAAAGAACGCGGGCGCGACATATCAGAGAATGATTGACACGGTCTTCTCGCGACAGATCGGGCGGAACATCGAGGCATATGTAGACGACCTCATCGTCAAAACGAAAGCGGGCAAGTCACACCTGCAGGACCTGCGCGAGACTTTCGAAGCTCTCCGCCAACACAGCCTTCGCCTCAACCCACTCAAGTGTGTTTTCGGAGCGGAAGCGGGGAAGTTCCTCGGGTTCATGATAACCAAGCGCGGCATAGAGGTCGACCCAAAGCAAATCACC